TCGAGCTAGACAAAATAGGCCCCTAGAGTCAAATACGCATCGCTGGCGTCTATGTAATGAGTACAAAAGGCCCACTGTGAGCGCCACAACTATGAGGAACAAGGATGCATAAATGTGGCCTATTTACTGGACTGCCTCCGTAAACATAGGCCGCACATCCACATGTACAAAAACGTGTCGCACTTTGCCAAATTTTGATTTTCACATTTACGCTTTTTTTGTAGTTTTTTTTGCTTTAGAAGCATACTCACCCTCTTTATAGGCTAATCAGAAAGTGCTGCCTTTTTCAGATGTCTAATTTTTGTGAAATTTCATGTTGAAATTTTGATACGCAAACGTGTGCAAATGAATCTGGAAATTTCACGAAAAATAGACATCTGACAAAGGCAGCACTTTCTGATTAGCCTATAAAGAGGGTGAGTATGCTTCTAAAGCAAAAAAAACCCTACAAACTAAGCCTAAATGTGAAAATCAAAATTTGGCAAAAAGCGACACGTTTTTGTACATGTGGATGTGTGGCCTATATTTACGGAGGCAGTCTAGTAAATAGGCCACATTTATGGGGCTAGGATGCATATAGCCCCATAAATGTGGCCTATTTACTGGACTGCCTCCGTAAACATAGGCCACACATCCACATGTACAAAAAACATGTCGACTTTGCCAAATTTTGATTTTCACATTTAGGCTTACTTTATACGTTTTTTTTTGCTTTAGAAGCATTCTCACCCTCTATATAGGCTAATCAGAAAGCGCTGCCTTTTTCAGATGTCCATTTTTCGTGAAATTTCCAGATACATTTGCACACGTTTGCGTATCAAAATTTCAACATGAAATTTCACAAAAATTAACATCTGAAAAAGGCAGCACTTTCTGATTAGCCTATATAGAGGGTAAGAATGCTTCTAAAGCAAAAAAAAATTACAAAGTAAGCCTAAATGTGAAAATCAAAATTTGGCAAAGTCGACACGTTTTTTGTACATGTGGATGTGTGGCCTATGTTTACGGAGGCAGTCCAGTAAATAGGCCACATTTATGGGGCTAGGATGCCTACAGCGGTCATACTAAACAGCGTCAACACAGCGTCAACACACTCCAAAGTGTCAACACAGCGTCAACACAGCGTCAACACATCCAAAATGCATTAAAATTGACAAAAGCAGTATGTAACCCATACAGTATGGACAGAAACAAGATTTTGGCTTAAAATTAATAGGTTAAACGTCTGAAAATTGCGATTTTCAGTTCAAGAAAATTGGCTCTCCGTGCCGCTCCGAAATCGGCTGCCATGTTGCCTCAGTGGCAGTGCGGACCATACCATTATGCTAAAGGGTGAAAGCGTTGTACAATAAACCAACAGAGAGGGCGCTGCCGGCCAATACCAAAAGATGTCCATTTCAATAAAGTAAATGAAACATAAACACAACTCACAAAATAATGATCCACCACTCCGATCCTCAGTCCTCAAATATCTGGTATCCCTCTGTTGTTTATGACAAGATAATGTCATTACCTACACACCCCTACTTGAAATGGTGTAGTCCAAGCTTTGTGCGAAGTCAAGATGGCGGACAACGGCCGTGCGAGTGAAAGGTCATTTTTTTCGCGTGAAAATACGATATTTTTAACAACGAAATGGAAACTCAATCCAATGGAAATTCTCTTTTATTGTATGTTTCACAATTATATGCCCTTTTTGTCAATTCAGAATGTGTTTTGGATGTGTTGACGGTGTGTTGACGCTTCTGTCATGTGTTGACGCTGTGTTGACGCTGTGTTGACGCTGTTTAGTGCGACCCGCATACAGAGAGCTATGAGTGTGGCAGTCACATTACAACAAAATATCAAAGATTCGTCTTCATTAAACCCACCGGATTTGGTTGCTATTTTGACGACGGTGTCCTTCTTAAAGCTCCATGTGATGACGATAATAACTGCCGTGTAGAAACAAATGCCAAATACGAGACAAAACTGGCGTCGTTTGCTGAACAGAGCCATCGTGATGATGTGACACGGTTTGGTACCGGCTAAAGATGTGCCAAAATCCACCTAACTGTGGCAGTGACTGAAAATGAAAATGGTGTAGTGGGCGCTATATACGCTCACAGAGTTGCACACAAACAGTGTCATCCGATGAAAAGAAACTCGCCGCAGGTGGGTGCCAAAAATCAATGGCTATTCATGGGTTTTCTTTAGTTGGACCATACATGTACTATTTGCGGCAGCCATGTGAAGTAATGGCACGCCAACCTGGTATTGTTAGATACTGTTCAATCGCTTCCGCTAGTAGTAATGCCGTCGACCTTCCGCGTAGCGGCCATGTCAGAGGGCATCTTTTGTTGTTTTAATTCAGTAACAGCGAACGCGCAAACGGTACACTCATGAAAATCCCCGCAAAACAAAGCAACTGCCCTCTAAGGTAGCTGCTATATTCGCATAATAAGGTCTATTCACAGTGGAATAGCGGGGTTTCACTTGTTGGTTGTTTCTTTTTCTGGAGAGGACATTCATTTTGTTCACAGCTTCAGTCGAATACAAGTGTTATTTTGGTCCCCCCCCCCCCACTTCTTAGCGGGAGGCTTGGCCACCTGGGGCTGGAGGGCACAGATTTCGAGCGGGGACCCGTGCCCCCGTGCTCCCCATCCCCTCTCCACCTCTCAGTTAGTTGCTATCAGAAAGCTCTAAATCGACATTAACTGTTTTTCTGCAGGTCATCGGTAAACGTAGTACATTTTTAAACAAATGTAAGCTGCATGATGAGAAACTCAGTTTATTGTGTTCTCTCGTTAAATGTAATTATTTTCGCCTTCGAAAATAATTTTTAAAAATTATCTGATTTTTGACTTGTAATGTTTCCTATATTTTTTACTCAATGAAAAACAAGGCCGTTGGAGAAAGACACTGACGACCGATCCCAATGAGCAGCCGAAGACGAGGCTCCTAGCTCTAAGGCCAAATAAAAAAAAACATGTTGCGCGCCCTGCCTTTTTGAGAAAAAAGGAAGCAGGAAGCCCCTTTTTCCCTCCAAAATGTCCGCCCGACCGGGCTATTTTTCAAGATGGCCGCCATTTGTTTTAAAAATGGCCGCCTTTGGACTCAGGAAATGGCATACCAGCTTTATATGTGCTAGATGCAACGGACAAAGAGGCCAAAATGATATCGCTGTTGAAAATGTATCCTTTTTTTCGGTTTAACAAAAAGAAAAAAGGAAGCAGCCTCCAAAAAGGAAGCGGGTGGGGACGCCAAACATTTTTTTATTTGGCCTAAGCCATTGTATATGAGGGGGGGGGGGGACCTTTGCCTTTTACATTCTTAGCACAAAACGAAAGCGCTCTTGCCCTCATTTACGGCCCTCGTAACCGTCCAGCTTTGTTCAGGTGTGTCCAGATATTAAAAGCCCATTGCTTGCATCTAGACTCAAAGAATGCCCGCGTGAGTATTCCCGGGTAAATAACTGTCGCAGAAAATTGCTTTGATATTTAAATTTCAACAACTGTACTGTCCATGATATTTGTATGGGCATCTGCCAAAGATCCTTCTACATTGTATAAGAGATAATATACGTACGTGCATTTACGTGTCCTTTTGTTCAGCTGGTATCCCTACTCCACCCGCACAGCACAACATCCGTGCAAACATCTCGCTGCCAGGTGGTATAGACCATTATCATGTTGCGGCCATTGGGTTTCTCCCATTCAAATCGACGTAACCAGAGCGAGGCTAGAAGGAAAATAGTCTGTAGTTCCTTCTTGCACAAAAACCATTATCAGTGATTTTATTGGATACAGGGAACATGAATGAAACGGGGGTAGCATGATGAAGGTCTATAGGATTACCGGCAGGTGTGATTCTTCCTTCTACGCCACGTTCAATTGTAAATCTTAGTACGAATTTGCAAGAAATATTGGTTGTCTTCGTTACAGCATTTTGAAGTCTACCCGTGATCTTCACCGTTTTTGATTTTTTTTTAACTAACGAACAATTGTTAATTTGTATGTTTTAGTGAAAAGAAAAGAGCTAATTATTTTCTCTTTTTGACGTTTTCAATCCGCTGAAGCTACGCTTTTATTTTCGGGCTGCTTTTGCACCCATTACGAACAAAAGATACGTCTGAATTACTTTCTGGCAGCAGATAGGTCTAATCCCCCCCCCCAAAAAAAAAGTCCCACTCTGTGTTTACCATGGTTTCAGAACGGTTCGTCATCTGATTCAGGTCCAGCCAGGGTATTTTTAGACCCCTAGATTTGGCATTACCTCTACTACACGGGCCATGTTTTGTTGCAAGAAAATCAACACCTAGTACGAGGCGAAATTTTAAAACTTAAAATATTTCCAGTTAAGGCTCCCAAGAGATCATGCAACAAATCCGAGGTTTTGGACATCCCTCATCGCGCGCCCCGTACTGGACGTGTACCTTCCTTCATCCATGGGCTTATAAGAAACGGCGCCCTCTCGTGCAAAAAAAAATATGCTCTCCACTTCAAATGGCGCCCTCCTATTTGTGCCCGCCATACTTTAAAAAAAAATGCGAATATGCGTTCTTGGTTGCAGACCAGTAAATAAACTGCCAGTGATGATTACCACCACTTCGTGACATTCAGGAAAAATACAACTCTCCAAGGTGCTCGAGACACGTAAAATAAAGCTTTTTTCATCATCTTTTATTTTGGGTATCCTATGACCTTTGGGAGCAATGACTATCCAAAGATGATCACCCCTAAAAGTAGTCCCGAAGCTCATCGCCATTTTGAAAAAAAAATGCCTGTACATGTACGCTCCATTACATAATGGAGCATTTTAAGGCAAAATTTCGTTCAAATTTCTATCACCGTGACAGAACCACAAGCTCGCAGTCCTAAATCTCATAGCCAAGGTGTGAATATTATGGTTTGATGTGATAGGTACCTACCAATAGGCTTATCTCGGTTGCTTTTCTTGGTACACATTATGGAGCCAATTCAAAGACAGCCAAAAAAAAAATTGAAACAGATAAATGCCTGCATGTTAAACAAAACTCCTCATGTCTTCTTTAATTTCCATCCACCAAGTAAAAGTAGAGATTTGTTGTAGGCCCTAATTTGTTGCATTTAGTGGTAGTGGCCACTTGAGGATCCACCCGAACCACTCCCAGATCCGCCTCCAGATGAATTGGAGCCACTCCCACTCCCACTGGAGGAGGAACGCCCACCGGATGAATTGGAGCCACTCCCACTCCCACCGGAGGAGGAACGCCCACCGGATGAATTGGAGCCACTCCCACCGGAGGAGGAACCCCCGCTTGAAGATTTGGAGCCACTCCCACCGGAGGAGGAACCCCCACTTGAAGAATTGGAGCCACTCCCACCGGAGGAGGAACCCCCACTTGAAGAATTGGAGCCACTCCCACCAGAAGAAGACCGCCCACTTGAGTTGCTTCCCGGGTTAGAATTGGAATCCGTGCTTAGTGTGCCTGAAAACAAAGCCAAGAAAATTAGTGTACGTTAATTGAGGAGGACATTAAGTCTATGTTTCAAACTGAGACAAATGAGTAAAAACTCTGGTCTGTAAAAGGACCAGAGCGCGCGAATGAAGTTGGAAAATTTTGCTACCGCAGTGCATTATGGTTTAGCATAAAAGTAAATTCCGTATACCAGTCTGAATGCTGCTTTTATACTTAATAAATAATGTCGCCTCTTTTGATATTGTAATTTTCTCCTATACATACAATTACACAGATAAAATCAAACCGCCTTACAACTGTAGCGAACGAAGAGATACTTGTGCGTTCCCGGACATGGATCTCCAAACAAGTCGACTGAAGCACGCACTTTACACCACCGCTTGCTGTGGCATTTTCTTTTGACAATCTAAGGAATTTAATGGTGAGAAAAAGTCCAAAACATGGACATTAAAGCCACTTTCCTTAAAGAAAACAAAGCTGTAAACAAACACACAAACAAACAAACACATTTAAATAATTGAAACTGAAAAGATTAAAATATTTTTTTTTACTGACCACTTAATGAGACTCCCTTCCTGTCATTCAAAATAAACTCACTTTGAGTCCGGCACCAGACACACAGTGCACACTCTTGAGCCAGTACGGGTCCGTTGGACAGACTGCGTTGCCATGGACACGGCCAAAAAGGGCGTGGTCAATGGCAATATGGTGGCCCTTTTTGCAGTCGATGTTCAGTGTGCTGTCTTGACAGGCAAACTTGGTTCGCATTATTGGGTAGTCACCTTGACAAAAAAAAGCGAAATGTTTTGAAAGGAATAAGAATGTCATTGAGATAAAGGCGGAGACTTTATATACGAATGATTCAAACTTTTTTTTTTCTCCACAGTGATCAAGATAATTTAGAATACTATTTTACTTCTGAATGCTTGCAGAAAAAAAATCATGCAGGTCCGGGAATGTTGGACTTTGGACTTTCATATAATTATTGGTGGAATAGTTGAAAAGAACTTGCCTGTAGCCTAAGCATAAGCTACTTCATTGCATGCAATGATGAATAACAAAAGGCAAGGGTTATACAGGGTGTGTCAAAAAATACGAAACCCAAATGTCGGGACTATTATTTTAGTGGAGTTCTACATGTAGCACTTTCAAAGTCAAGGATGTAAAAGCCCAATTCATAAGCTTTCTTGTAGTGCAAGATTCATTCAAATCACTCATGTACTTTTCAAGTTTCGGGCTTTTAAACACGACCACCGTTTCAAAGTTATGTCCACGGATGACACCACCTTCTTGCGTTTTTTCAGCAAAACGAAAACAATTCACACATCCCGATGTGATTTGTTTTCGTTATGCTGAACGAACACTTACTTTTGTGATCCGTGGACAGAACTTTAAAACGGTGGTCGTATTTAAAAGCCCGTAACTTGAAAAGTACAAAAGCGATTTGAATGATTCTTGTACTAAAAGAAAGCTTATGAATTGGGCTTTCATATCCTTGATTTTTAAAGTGCTACATTTAGAACTTCACTAAAACAATGGTCCCGACAGTTGGGTTTCGTGGGTTTTTTTACTCACCCTGTACAGTCTGCATAGGCTATACATGTACAATCTAATATAGTCTTATAGACTTAGCTTTGGGATAAACGAATGCTCATCGTTGAATGGACAAGATACCGTAATCCATATTGAGTCCTCTTCCTATACACTCAAGTTAGCTTATCCAATAAAAGTTGAGCCAGTGCCCCCTACAAATCCTACACATGCAGGCAACTGGACTGTCGTGATCTTCGCAAACCTATTGCCCGTATACCCTCCAATATTCAGCATAACTGCCTAAAATAACCATACCAAAACTCACATGTGTAGCTCACTTGCAGGTATTGGCCGCTCCCTTCGCACTTGCCCCCGAAGAACCCTTTATTTGCCGGGACCTTACACCAACTCTTCCCCTGGCACTTGGCCCGTACGGCCAGCAGGGCATTGGGCGTATAGCAGCCCGATAACCCGTACGAGCCGCAGGCTGTCTTGCCTGGGAGGCGTCCGTAGTTGGCCGATTTGATGTTGAGGCCCTGCCCGGCCGGACAGTCGATGTTCAATCTCGTCCCCTGGCAGGCAGTCTTAGTTATTACTGGTGGTCCTGAAGAAAATAAAATCAAGATAAAAATTGAATGTAGTAACGACTCTAGATTACGGAGTTGTTGGTTAACTATATGATCTGTTTTGGTTGTCAAATGATGAATATCAGGATGGCGTTATCGGCAGTGGGCTTATAACAAGATAGAGAGTCACTGGATTGATATGTTGAACAATTTTGTGATTACAAAAAACTTGGATTGGACCCGAAAGGTTGACATCAGAACATTTTGTATGCGTAGTGACATATCAGTCATTCGGGGAGTTAGTCAGTTATGCTATAGGTTCACTATTAAATCCCCGATTTTTAAGCCGAATCGCCATGCACGAATAGAAATTCTTGAGTAAATCGGTGATGGTTCTTGGCTGCCTCAGGATGATTCTGTTTGTTCGGTGAAAGATCGTTAAAGATCGGGAAGCACCCCGACAAATACGAACAGCAATATTGTCGGGGTGATTCGGGAACCAATTTCAATTCTTAGTTTATTCTTGTTGTATTCATAACTAGTTCGGGAGTGTGTGAACCTATAGTATTAGTCAGTCACTGGCTTATACAGTCAGAGGACAGTCGGCCAAAAACCCCAAGAATGTGCAAGACACTCCTACATTATTTGCTACCAAAATTGAATGCAAATGTAGATATTACAAAGATCAGTAAAAGGATGATATTCAGAATGCATTCAAATCTGGCCTTTACAAATTCGTCTTCAAGAAGATTCCCCGGTGCAGTTATGACCACCGTCACAATAAAATTGTTTCGGAGCACTCATTCAATGGGAGGACACATGATCCGATCAGTTTAAGGTAAAATGCATGGATATAGATGTGTAGTGGCAACAGTGTCCAACGACGTGGCGTCCCCATCCAAGCGACACTTGATCATCCATACCCAAACTCCGGACCGTCTCACCATCTTTCGAAACATCATTAGGATAGCCTCATGAAACTTACCCAAATAATGCGACGCTTGTGCACGCACCACCAGAGTCAGCAACACCACTAATGCCCCTATGCGACACATGCCGGACACGGACATCTGCGATTGAACTCAGTGTCGAAAGGAAATTTGTTCCTCGTTTTCAAGCTACAGAATTTATACCTTTGAAAAAAATGCTCAGGGTCGATGTTGAGCCATCAAACACTTTTTCGAGAGCAGTATCATATCATTGCATCGGCCTCAAGTGATATCCTCCTCCCAATGCCACAACTACTCATGTGCTTAACCTCGATCCCAAGAGCAACACTGCTAGCACTTTCGATTAATTAACCTGATGGTTCTTTTTTTCCCATTATAGGCTACAGACAATGACGCCCGACAATCACCATATGATGGACTTCTTCAATCTTATTACCAAGGTTCTGTAAAATAGAAAAGAGTTAAGCATTTGGGAGGTGTTCCGGCAAGTTTTAAGCAGATCAACACAAATGTTGAGAAAATAATAAAGGAAGAAAACAACGAAGTGAAAATAAAATTCAATATTGGGTTTTTCCCTTCGCCGACGCCTTTTTTATATTTTTATTTAAACGTTGGTGAAGAGTCAAACCCTATATTGAATATACATCACCCCGTTGCAAATTCCATCTTATGAATAGTCTGGATTCAAACCAATCAGCCTTTCCTGGCAAGCCCGGTGGTCGAGTGGCATAAAGACGTCTGCACTAACAAGCAGGAGGTTGTGAGTTCGAATCCCGCCGGAATAATTTTTTTCTCGGGTCAACACTAAGTACATGTATACAGTGTTTATATAACAAAAAAATACGTCGGTAAACGGCTAAACCCAATGCTGAATTTTAATCGCCCTGACGAAAAATTCCATCTTATGAAAGTAAAATTGACTACGAAAAAAACCCCCAAATAATACATGATAATTTGCATTATCCAAGGCGCAAGGGACCTCTAGTTTTGTTGAGCTCTTATTGTCAACGGTAGTGACAGAAAATTACAGAAACTGACGACTGTGCAAAAAGTCCCCAGACGTTAAGGACACTAAACGCGAGCTGAGTTGGACTTATTTTTTTTATTTTTTTTATTTTTTTTTTTTTTTTTTTTTTTATTTAAAACCATCTTTAAAGAGGGTAACCCATCCAGCAGAAGCTGATCTTCTGGGGCCCTCACACTAATGGCGTCCAAATGGATAGTTGTCGCAACTCTCTCTATATGATTGGCTCTGGAATACGAGCATCTTAGTCAAGAATTATGGGAGTGTTGTTTTCAAGCTGCTTATTATGGCACCTGGTGATCCTTAAAGGGAAAATACAACATTTGCAAACATAACAAAACGAAATGATCAAATTATCACTAAATACCTTGCTGGATTGTTAGGGAATGACAGTCTAAAGCATCCTGTAAATCGTGGCTCCTGGTGTGCTGACGTTTTCAAGAAAAATTGTATTTTTCCAACGCTGGTCGGCCGACCAGCGTTGGAGAAAACTTTTTTTTTTTCAAAACTGCTCCTAATTTGTCATAATTAGTTATTCCGTGTTTTCTTTGCAATTGATTACACAACTGTGAAGGGGTACAAGCCTACTAGACTGACTCTCTGATCTTACAATTCCCCAAAAGTCTATAAATTCTCCGTTTCATCTTAAGTGGGGTCTGAGAACCAGACTACAAGAACATGAATGGTTTTCTTGGTTTTTCCAACATCTACAAGTCCAAAACGTGAAACAAGTCATTTTAACAATATTTGCTAACCCATACTAATCCTCCAAATCCATTTATTTCTGAAAATTGCAGCAAAAGCAAATGTTGTACATTCCCTTTAAGTTAATTGCGAGGGGGAAAAAAGATGTGCACTGCGTATAATAATAAGGGCAGTATAATGTGTTTTATCCATATCATGTGTGCATTCATCCATTAAATAATACATGTACATGTACATCTCTGCTGAGTGGATGTTTACATAGTCCATGAAATGCATATTGTTATTGACGGAACTTTGATCAAACGCCTATACAACCAATCGTGGCACCAAATTTACAGCCAATACACTAAGAATAATCCCTTATTTGTGGGAATACTACATAAGGCAATGAGAGGAATTTGTACAATCTTTTTGGATGCTTGAGTAAAAAAAAAAATCACTGTAAATAATGTTCAAGGCATTAAATGTCAGAAGTTGGACTCTAGACATTGGTTAAGTTTACAATTTCAAATCCATAAAAGTGCCCAACTTTACCACAGCAGAGGTGAATTGACAGAAGCCGGTAAAAAGTAAAAGTGTTAAAACTTGTTCATTACGAAAGGACTACAACGGGGCGACGACTGAACAAGTTTACTCTATATACGGTTGAATAAGCCCAAAGAACGACATCGTTTCGTGGCGCGGATACCGATCCACATATCCTTGGGTATTGCTATTGATTGTTATGGAAATGAGCATACACCCTTCTACCTTTCAGCCAATACCAATTCAACCGGTGTAAGCTGCCTTGAAAAGATGGATGACTAACTAGTCCCACATGTACCTGTGTACACAAAAACAGCAACCTTTCTTTTTACGTTTCTTTTGTGGCGTTCACGCTTTCCTGCACACGGTCAAATTTTTTAGGGTGTTTTGGGCATGGAATACTGCACTTCACCAACGTCATACATATGGTGTTATTCGCAATTGCCGTGAACTTCGACTACGCCTAGCCCAAACTGTGGTAGTCATCGTACACTGAAACGTGTATACTGGGTGTGGTGTGGCTTTCCATTTTCTCTGTACGTAGCACTTTCTGTCGGCGTAAGTTGGGCCAACCTGGAGAGTTTTCATTCGCCGACTCTACTCAACGTGTGTCACATCAGTAAGATACAAAACAAGGAATCTCAAACAATCTTCAAGTGTAATACTATTTGTGCTGCGTAGACTTCATATGGAAGCAGCCTCAGCTCAATCGACATTTTGATGGCGGAAACGTTATAAAGTTGCGACTGACTGACGTTGTGTTATTGGGCGTTTGTAGTTTCGGCAACACTAGAACTAACTGGAGGTTACACTCGGTGACTACAAGTTTTCGGCTAGTTTATACTGGGGTGAACCCCCTCACGATTACGGAGCTTTCTTGTGAATTGTTGTCGACGACAGACAAGGCGATAAAGAAAACTTCAAGAAGATAGTCCGGAGACCGGTGTAGGAGGCGAAATGGGTCGCCATCATCTTGGGAGTAACCTTGAGGCTACACTCTTGGTCTTTTTGGGACTCTGTTCTGTAAGTATTATATTCTCACACATCATGTTTTTATCTTCCACATTATTTCATTGAAAGTTACCGCCTCAAAACCTAAAGAGAACATTCGCTTAAACAGTATCCTTATTTTTTTATATTTGTTTTTAGTCATATAATTTTTTTGGTTAGGCCCATATACATTTTTGAAATGCGAACACACGTGAGGACTGGTTATCATTTTAATTGGGCATTATGACACTCTTCAAATCACTGAAATCATAGCCAAATGCAGCAGAGGCATGTAACGTACATGACAGTCAAGAACAACAACTGAATTTTATGCCAACATGTGAGGGAAAGTCATCACTAGTCTGTGCCTAAAATTCAATGCACAGTCATCAACACCCACCCTCTTCGAAAAGCAATTCAGTAGTTAACTTGTATGAGTCTCGTCTTTAAAATCAGCCCTTGCTGCAACATAGATAAAAAAAAAAATTGTATAGCGAACACCTTGAAATCGCAAGATGGGTCCGGTCCCGATGTACAATTATACAATTATTTTTTAGACATTACATTGACATCTTTTCAAACAGTGACAGTAGAGCGAAATGGGGGAAAATGAAGCATCCTGCCGCCACATTATGGGGATGATTGTGCAACAAGGTCTGTGAGGTGACCTAAACATTGTCGCTGTTTCGCAACAAAATAAGATAAATTTATGATCTTTCAACATATCTGCAATGATTAAAAATCATTGAGGTTTTGTGTAAAACATCATGACTGTCAGTCATTGCTTTTAAAAAGTTGGGACTGATGAAGAATTATAATGATAAAAGTGACACCAGCATACTGAATTTTACTGCGCGCATTTTAATGCACAACAAACTACGTGGGATTGAGAAGTAAGATAAAGTGACAGTAATTCGCAGTGCAAATTTGTACATGTTAGGCTTTGAAGGCAATGCACGTAGGCCCTACAACAAGTGGAGTTTACATTAGCGCTGTTCACACAAACTGAATCTTAACAACTTTTCACTCTATACATGTATTTTATAACGTTTTCTAGAGATTATAACAATATTAATTAAACTGAGAAATACTTTCAATAATTGCGCATAAGTAATGTTTGTATGATGAAAAAGCTTTACAACGAAGTTCAGGACGTTAAAAAACAGGCTGTTATACTGTTTTTATTCTCAAAAGTTTCATAACCGTTCAAAATATTAACCTCTTTCAAATGGATATATCTCGTATTGGAAATAAACTCTTCATATATTGATCGACAAATTCAAGTATAACTTAGCAGTCCTTTAGAGCAGTACGATATCCGAACACATAATATGTTTTTATCGTACCTGTGACAAGTATTAAATTAAGGCTAAAAGGGGGACTTATGCTAGGGTCAGACATTCCCGAATTTTGGCCACGAATATCCCGATCTATCCCGAATAAACATTCTTGATGGTATCAGGAGAAATTAGCCCCGATTCGCTGTTTTTAAGAATAACTTACGAATGAAACAGAAATAATCAAGAACAAGGTACGAATTGAACGCCGATTCAGACCGAACCAAGCCGAATGATAGCGATTTAGTGCAGAATAAAACCGAATTGTAGCAATTTTGTCGAGAGTAAATGATACGAATAACTCAAGAATCATCCAGAATGACCCAAATTATGCCGCTCTAGTGTATTCGTAAGTTATTCTTATAATATTCGTGCATTTCTTGATACATTCGTAATGATTTGGCATGAGTGGACTGTTAACACCAAAACATAACTCAACGAAACTGTAAGAATGCTGTAAGAATATCAAGAATGCTGTAAGATCCAGAACTATAGTTACGAATACAACAAGAATAAACCAAGAATTTAAATTGGTTCCTAAATCACCCCGACAAATTTTGAACATGTCCAAATTTGTCGGGACGCTTCCCGATCTTTAACGATCTTTCACCGAACTAACAGAATCATCCCGAGGCAGTCAAGAACCATTCCCCGATTTACTCAAGAC